GGAAAATTTTGGGGTACAACAGATGGAATCTATAAGCCCATCTCCGACAATTCTCCATCATCTCTCCAAAGGACATCTTTAAGCCCATTCCCTACACAATTAACTGACACATAGTCGAGTGCAAATTTCTGGGCACTCTAGTGTTCAATCATCTTCTACCTTCAAGCTACGAACGGTAATGTGCCATACTCGCTTTTCAGGTTTAAGAAGATTGAACATGGACGGTTGTTGTACCCAAAAATTTATCCTCTTATTTCTCAAGAATTTTCTCACAAGATTTCTATTGGGTCAAGACTGCACAAGGTTTGATCAGCTCAAGATACTTCCTCAACACTGATGACTCAAAACTAGAGTTTGAATTTGCACAAGTACAATTGGACTTTTAATGCCCCATGTAGTTTCCATGGATCATATTGAGCTCACAAGCTTTAATTGGACAATGGTTATCTCCATACAAGTTTCAATTAAGTAATGGCCTCCTACATGCTTGCTTCGATTCACAAAGTAGTGGCCTCCTACATGCTTGCTTCGATCCACAAAGCAGTAGCTTCCTTCATGCTTGCTTCAATTCACAAGGCAATGGCCTCCTTCATGCTTGCTTTGATTTTGAAGGCAATGGCCTCCTTTATGCTTGCTTCGATTCCACCTCTAAACCATCCAATACACATAGTTTCTACACTATGAATTATATTTGGTGGTCCATTCGAAGAACATGCAATGGTTGGAAACAAATAGTTTTGTCTACTATTGAGTTTGGTCGAAGGTTGGATCTATGTGATTAAAACGAAAGGACTCAAAGTGGTATATTCAGATGAATATGGCCCATTCGAAGAACATGCAATTGTTGGAGATAATTAGTTTTGTCTGCTTTTGAGTTTGGTTGAGGTTGGATCTATGTGGCCAAAACGAAAAGATAGAGTATTCGATTCAAGGCATCAAGTTGAAGACAAAATCCATAGGCCATGCTACATGATCTTTCTTTGCAGGCCTCGTTGCTTGTATGATTAATTAATTACACAATGAATTAAGTTATTATCCAAGTGTTTAAAGTATTGTCCAAGAGACCTTTCCATGTATGGCATAAAGTTATCATTGCCATTTCAGGAAAGCAGGCTCTATGAAAATTGTCAATGCATTGAGCCTTGTGACCTTTATCTCTGATTGCAAGCAACATCAAAAGCATGAGTCAAATTTCCTGCAAACATCAGGCCCCACTTGTACTTGAACTTGGGAACCAGAAAATCCATTAAACTTGATTTTTTTTTCGTTTCCAACAAAATGCTAAGATGTTATCTCAGGATCCTGAATGTCAAAAACCTCTTCCCTATAAATAGAGACCATTTGCAAACTAAGGTCCATATTCTGGTTGAGTTGAAAAAATCCTTAAACACTCTCAAACTCTCAAACTCTTAAAAATCTCAAATTCCTTCATACGTTAGTGAGCCTTTCGATTCACCCCCTAGCTTCCATACACTAGCCTTCTGATTCACTCCCAGCATTCCATATACCAGCTTTTCGATTCAATGACTTTCAAAGCAAAGTAGCAACTAAAATAGTTTCAGGGAGGTCGAAGCAGGCTTAACCCATCATCGAATCATTCCTGGAAGTCATACAGAGCTCACTCGAATTGCACTTTAAGAGGTAAGTTTCTTTCAAAATTTAGAACTCTTCATTCAAGCATCATTTGTATATACTTTGTGAAGGAAAAATGTAGATATCATGTCTAAGAAGTTGACCATGTCTATTAGTCTTGATTATCATTACTTGTACATTAAAAAAATTTATCTCTGAACAGTTAGGTCTTAGTTTTGGTATTTCATGCTGACCTTCGACCCATAGCTTTTAAAAGTTATATGGTTAGATTCGTTTTAAGACTTTAGGTAGGTTAAATACTTACATCTTTCGATTTGGCTAAGAAAGGAAGTTTTTCGAAGCTTAACAAATGAGTTATACATCCTTGCGCTCGAAGGAAGAAGATGAAGCCATGAGTTCATTTTATATTTAGTGCAAACTGTATAATTAACTGATGAAACAGACAACCCCAATGGTACAAACAACACGCGCTAAAAGCCTTGCCATGTAGAAGATCCTGAGTTCAAGCCTCAAAGAGACCTTTTGTTCATTTTTCATATCTTCTCACTTTGTCTTGTTTGCAGGAAACATACATGGGCCTCCACAGTTGAGCTTCAACCTTTTTATATTTCTGACCCCCTATTTACTAACAAACAAACAGACCCTGGGCCCAAGCATAAAACTGTTTTTCTAAAAAAAAATTATTTTAAATATAAAAAACTGTTTTCTAAACAAATACACAAAAAATATATTTAAGTTATTTAGTTTATTCTAGTTAACTTCTTATAATGAAAAAGACCAAAAACATTTTCCTATTTATTTTCTTTTCTTTAACTTAATCTTAATTTTTCTTTAGTTTAATTAAATTTCCTTTTAGTTAAATAGGCCAAAATCTTCCTTTAACAAAATCAAAACAAATTTATTTTCTTTTCATTTATGTCTTGTACATTATATACATTTCAATTCTTGTACATTATTCAAATTCAATATGATTGTAATAGATAATTAGGATTTAATTTCTTGCAAATCCCCATTTGTAAATTTGTACACCCCATCCCCAAGTGATGTAATAGCGTAGTAAATTTACTTTCCACAATTTATCGTTTTCATATAAATTGTTAGTAATTAGGGTGTGTATGACAAGATAAAATCAACCGTTAGAAAATCCAAATTTCAAAGACAAAAATGCATGCAATCTAACATATTATTCACACACATGCACCTCTAGGATGATATCACTTGTTGCCTCGTAAAATAGTCATGTCCCTCGAATATAGGCGTTTTAACAAAGACCCTCAATAAAAAGATCATAGTCTCTCGATGTCCCTCGATGTTGCCTTCGGTAAACGATCTAGTCCCTAACGAAAATTGTTAAAACGTCTCATAAGTTGTCTTCTATGACTATACAATTGACCCACGTCCGTCCCTTCACATCCAACGATGGGACTTCTTACCAATCAATGGTAAGATAGCAACATCTAAAGGAGGAGAAAAAGAATATAGACCTTTTGAGTTGGTAGGACACTCGTAGTTGCTTGCTCGCAAACGAAAACCATTTCCACACTTACACTTTCAAAACGTCTTCAAAAACAAATATCTTTCAAACATATCAAGCACTTTCAAAACATGAAAATATTTTCAAAAACTCCAACACTTTGTATGCATTCTTATAGAGACGAGAATCATTACAAGGTTTGCCTCAACGAATGCGCTTTTCAAAAATATTTTCAAAATCCATCACAAAGCACCTTTTCAAACAAAGCATTTTTGATATAGCAAGCAACTAAGAGCTCATAGATAACTATGGATGAAAAGGGTTTTAACACCTTCCCTTTTCATAATCTATCTCCCGAATTCAAGAAAACATCTCAAAGGTTTTTCTTGTTCTTTTCACCATTTCTTATTTGGATAAAAGAAAAGTCGACGGCGACTCTTGCTATCTGCAACAATTGCGATCAAACGCAAAACAATCAAGTCAGTTCTCCCACCGTATTACAACATCTATTGCACCCCTCCCCTTTAGTGCACTATGTACTTACCATTAACTCTAGTTTATCAGGAGAAGGTTTTTTTTTAGAATTAATATTTAGTGGAAGGATAAGGAGTATTTCATAGTTTCAATTTATTCATCGTGTCTTATTCAAAATAAGAGACAATTTTGCAAGAATCAATCTATTTATCAATATAACAAAAGTTTTTGCTGCCAAAAATCATATCTCTAACATCAAATGTGTTTTTCCTTAAATAACTCAAGTGTATTATGAGACAAGTCTAAGCCAAAATATATGTGTCTGGCTTTAGCATATGCGTATGGCCGAAGGCTTTTTTGGACTAGAAATATGCCACAGGCATTTGGTTATAAAGATACGCTTATGGCCCATTTATTAAATGTGTTTGGACACCGTAATATGCATATGGCCGAAGGCGATTTTGGTGATTTTGGCCAAAGGATAAGGAGTATAATATGTCGGAGATGAAAATGTGATATAAAATCTATATTGGCAATGAGATGAGATAGTACTAATATTGTGTAGTATAAGTCAAATTTGCAACAAAGAATAAAATGTTTCCTGCTTCTCCAAAACTTTCTTTCCAAGTTTTCACTTTTCAAGCAAGTCATTCTCATGTTTTTGTTTTGTTGTCAAAGTTTTTTCCGTCTAATATGGTGTTATTGACTCATTAGGTCTTCTTCTTTGACCATACTATCTGTTTTCTTCGCCGACCTAACTTACACTATGTCACCTACTATTGACTTTTTTTTCTTTTTTTCTAAATTACATTGCATCGATAAATGAAACTGAACACATCTAGCTTCATCTTAACTTCTAAGTATTTTATAATGAAATATTTACTAAATGCCAAAGTTAAATATTTTTATAATGTAGTAACATTTTTGTTTAAAAACATAGAATGCCATGTGCGCATACAGTATATGATGCATAAGGGTAAAAGGCAAGGTAAAACAAAGTGTGTAATCCATTGTGATCAATAAATATATGAGATAAATAAAAGTTAAGACACGTAGAGACATAGAGCAGTGACAGTTTGGTGCTATTCAAATTTATTCAAAGTCTTATCAGATAATTCACGCTCTTCAACCTTCTGCTTCTGTTTTCTCTGCTTCTATTTGTTGTACAATTCAATGCAACCCTTTATTTGTTTCTATGTGTTCATAAGTAAAAACCTTTAACCCACACCACTCTTGTTTTGCGTTTTTCACCTTTGTTCACCGATTCTTTATCTATAAATTCTGTTCAGGGAATTAATAACCTTGTTTGAGGTTTCTTGGGAACCACATCATCTTTTACTGTTATATTTCCCTTTAAAACTTTCAACCCGGTCCATTTCTTGTAAGGCACGACAAAAACATTAGAAACGGTCACTTTCTGGGTGAAGCAAGCTCTTTGTTTTGATTTAAGAATCCAAAAATGGATGTAAGCTTATTTTTCAGTGACCCTTTTTGTTTTGTTAAAGTTGATGATGAATAATGATTGATGGGGCAATATTTGTATGTTCTTGATAGGAATATTACAAGAGAAGTGGGCAAATACCAGCTTTTGGAAACTGGGATATTGCGAATGAGTTGCCAATAACTCAATATTTCGAGAATGCAAGACAAGCTGGTTTGATTCGTCACCGTTCTTCATCTGCTGAGACTAATCCATACTTGCATGGAGATAATCACGACCACTACGCCGTTGATTTAAAGAAACCAGCTCCAAAGGTAAGCTCTTTTGTTGAATTATAAAAATCATTAGGCAAAGATATGATTACTGAGAAATTTACAATTTTGTTAGCAATAATTATTTATTCTGCAATCGTATGGTACATAAATAAATCTTGTCGCAGAGTGATGATGACCCGTTGTTAATAATGTGATGGTTGAGAAAGGACTTAAAATCTGTATAACACATGAGTACTATTTACTTTTGTTTGGTTCTGATAATGTGATGTAGAAATAGTGTCTAATAATGTGTGCAGGCAACGAGAATAAAAGATAGAAGGTACACAAATGCAACAATGGTTAAAGATAAAGAAACGAGAGTGAGAAAACAGTGGAAAGTGTACGATGTAAAGGAACATCCGAGGAAACAGACAATGAACAACAAGAAGACACTACATGTAAACGACGTCGTTTGTAGTGGTCTTCAGTTACCTTCAAAACAACATCCAAAACCAGTTGATGAAGATCTCTACAAGATCCCTCCTGAACTTCTTCGTACAACTAAACGGGTTTGTCACTTTTTATTGTTGTGAAATGTTATTGTGTTATCCATGATTTGAGTTTGATTGATACGTTAATGTTATGTTTGATTTGAGTAATCATTGTTTGTGCAGAAAAAGATGTTGGGTTTCATTCCAAAATGTTTGGTACCTGCTGCTTGCGTTTCATAAGTGACAATGTCTCGACATACCAACCCAAGGAACGTTTCTTTTATCAATTTTGGTCCTCAACCTGTTTTCTGGATACAATATTTAATGTTATGGTATTTTTATATTTTATAGTTAATATTGTAACCTCTAAGGTAAATTTAAATTTTAAATAGAGTTTCTAATGATTTATAATAATATTAAATAATTTTAAATTTATAAAAATAAAAAAAAAAATTGTATCAACGGGTTCACAAACCTAACACCCTCCAACTTAAATAATAGTCATTTAATATGAAAAATAATCTAAAAAAAGAGTGAATGAAGTAGATTAATTGACATTAGTGATTTTTTCTTGATTATAAATATTTATAAGATTGTTCTTATTTTTTTGGAATCGTTATTAATTTTAAATTTAAACAATTTTAATAAAGTTAACGATATTTTTGTTTTTAAAATGATAAATTACTTGTTAAACATGATAAATCATCGTATATAAATATATTATTGAACTTTATATGTAAAAAATTTATATTTTTCCTTTAATATTATTATAAATCATAAAAATTATTTATCATCAATGTATATTTTTCTAGTGATAAGGACATATGATGTGACTTAAAGGTCTTAGTCAATTTTTCCTATCCACTTAAATTTTTTTAAAGATTAAATCAGAATTTTTTTATGACAATTAATTTGAGATTTGTAATTATGAAAATTGATTTGGACTTTATAATTTTTTTGAGAGCAAAATCGATCATCACTATACTTTTATGAAAAGTGGGGTGTTTTAACATATAAATTGTAATAATAGTGATAATTTGTGAAAAATTCTCCAAACAAAGCATTCATCTCATATCCAGTATAAATCAAATTAAGTAGTGTGACATGAAACACTTTCATTTAGATTTTGATGTAATAGTCCATCGGATAATTGTAGTAGTCATTTAATTAAAAAAAAGAATAAATGCAAGCATTGATTGAGTATTGAAATAAAGAAAATTAAGGGCAAGTAATAGAATTTAAGATAGCATTAACTTGATTCATAAATGGTTAACATGGCGAACCAGCACCATTACTAGTAGTAACAAACTGAAACAAACCAATTTAAATTTGTGTTGGTCACCGGTACTATTCTTAATTTAAATTTACTTTATAGTAATAAATTAAAAATAAAAACGAGATCCAAAAAATGTGTGGTTGACCAAAAATAAAATAAAACTTCCTCGGCTTGTTGTGATTGAGACATCTTGTTGTCAGTCATGAAACGCAGGCACAAGGCAGCAGACACTTGAAAATGAAACCAAACATTTTCTTCTGCACATACATACATTCATTCAGAGGCAACAATTTACAGCATTTAATAGTTAAAAAACCAAAAAATGACTAACCCTTTTGGTTTTGCGAAGAAGTTGAGGAGATATCTTGTAGAGATCTTCATCAACTGCTTTTGGAAGTTGTTTTGAAGGTAACTCATGACCAATGCAAACGACGTCGTTCATTGGTTTACTTGGATATTCCGTTGCATGGTACACTTTCCCGTGTTTTCTCGTACTTGTTTCATTAACGATACCATTCCTATACCTTATTCGCGTCGCCTACACAAACAATGTACACATCATCACGTAAGTGAATCAAAATATAAGAACCAAAAAGTGAAACAATGTTACCTTTGGAACTTGTTTCTTAAACTCAACAGTGTAATCGTGTTGTTGACGCACATATGAATCAGTTTCACTGGACGAAGAAGTGTAACAAATCAAACCAGCTTGTCTTGCATTCTCGAAATATTGAGTTATTGGGAACTCGTTCGCAATATCCCAGTTTCCAAAAGCTGGTATTTGTCCACTTCTCTTCCAATATTCCTAACAATAACAAAACAACAATGACCCATCAATCTCTGTTCATGATCTTTAACAAATCTTAAAGAGAAAAGAAAAAGTGTGACTGAAAATAAGCTTACATTCATATTAGGATTCTTAAATCAAAACAAAGTGTTTTTGTTGCCCCCTTACGAAAATGGGTGGGGATGAAAGTTTAAATAGCCAAACTAGGATGATGTGTTTCCCAAAAACCTCAGACTAGGTGATATTAAATAGGCAGATCAGAATGAATAGATAAGGAATGTGAGCAACAGTGCGTGGGTTAAGGCTTTTTACATATGAAGACAGAAAATGTTGCATTAAACAGACAGAAGCAGATAAAAATAAAAACACAAGGGTAATAGCTGATATTAAAAGATAAGATTGAACAACGAGAACTGTGTGTAAAGAAAAAAGAATGGGGTTGTATTGTAGGTAGATACAATAATAATAATCAGTGTGGTTGAAAAGTTATGAGTTTTACTGTTGAGCAGTACTAGTATTGGCTATCTGAAAAGGCTAAGAATAAAGTTTGAATTCTATAAAACTTTTCCAACTATAAAGGAATCACACCCTACTTTTCTCTCTGTGCTAGTAAAGCCAAAACTTTTTCAATATGTAAGACATTTTTTATTTGTTTCATATTTATGGATTTACTATTTTTTCGACCAAACCTGATATTTCGCTTTTGTTTTACTTTTTCCAAACAAAACTTATTATTAGTAAGCGACGGAAAGTTGTTTCACAAAAATACAAAAACAAAGCTGTGGATGAGTTGTATGAAAAGTGAAAACTTGGAAAGAAAGTTTTTGAAACGTAGGGAACATGGAAGAGTACAAACGGAGTGGTGAAATATTAAATTGTTTTCTACTCTGACTTTGACCATCAACAAATAATGTATTTACACCCAAAAAAAAGTGTCACTTTATTAATGAATTTATTCTATACATTTTTTATCCAAATAATCAACTTTTACAACTTAAACTCAATCATGTTCCCCATTATTTTTTAATGACTAATACTATATAATACTAAGAATAATTTGAATAAAAAAATAAGACTGTATATTGTAATTGTTTAAATGATAATTTTAAATTTATTTTAAATATAATTTCTTTTTAATAAAAATTATAGTATAATGATAGTGATGAATGGTTGAGATTTAATTCTTGTGTTTCTTGTTTTCATATTTTTTCACTAATTATCATTTTTTATTTTTAATATATTCATATTTTAAACAAAATAAATCGAATGAAATAAACACTTCAATGCTATTGGCGCCTCCACTTACCATTTAAAAGAAGAAATAAATTTAATTGACGGCTCCTCCTATTATAAACACGAGACATTGATCTAACTTAAGTGTTTTCTATTTTGTGTTGTTTGTGTTGATGAGGACTGTTTGTGTTGATGACGTCCTAATCTAACTGTAGTGAGGTTGGTTGAATGATGATGTTAGTGTGAATGTTTGAGTCGAGAAAAACAGGGGTGGTGCGTTTTGTAGTCTATGTTAAATTGTTATGTGTTTTGGTAAGTATGTGATGAGTTGATTGGTTGTGTTTGTTGGTGTCGAGACAGATGAAAATTTTGTGGTTGTTGGTATGAAGTATGTTTTTAAGTATTGTGGTTGTGTGATAGGTGATTTCTGCAAGTATATGGAGTCTATCGAAGTAATATAAAGAGTGTCGAATTTACAGAGATCAAATGGTCAATCTATCATTTTCTATTGCTACGGTGTTTAATCTAAGGCAATAAAAAATTAAGAGTAGAGTGGGAAAATAAAATGAAATAATAAACTTGAAGTAATTTTTAGAAATTCAATGTTGGAACGTGGATCTCATCAATTCATTGATACTCTTATTGTTCCTAAAACTACATATGGGACAATGTTTTCTCCTTTGAAAAAGAATCAATTAAAAAGGAATCGTCGTTGTCGCGTAATCGGGACTGGATTTTACTCTCTAATTTATATCGTCCACTCCCGTGTGTCCGTGCATTT